TATTATTATTATTATTATTATTATTATTATTATTATTATTATTATTATTATTATTATTATTATTATTATTATTATAACTAGAGTGACGATGAGTGGCGACTACAACCACTACTCTTATGATAAACACTTACTCTGAAATATCTTTACGGTCTTGAATTTGTTTTCTTTTATTTTTTCTTTTCGCGTCTTTAAAATCTTTAAAAAATAATAAGTTTGTGATTTGATCGACGTGTACACATCAATTATTTATCCTATTGGTTTTTTTTTGGGAGGACAGACACGAATTGATTTTTTTTTTGGAAAAACAATTTATTTTTTGATAGAGTCTAAGGTGACAAAACACGAGTGTTGTTGCTTGGTTTGGCTGGGTCTCCTAAAAATCCTAAAGAGCGCGTGTTAATAACTAACCAGAGGTACTTACTTATTTGTATTGATATAATGTGGTGTCTTTTATTTTATATAAATATTCTAATTGGAATCAAAACGCGGAGCAGATCTTGCTGGGTAATTATAAGGTTCTTATCAAGATGATAAACAATTGGTATTTTGCTTTTCGTGATCAATATTATTATTAATGTTGCTATAATTAATTACAAGATGATGTCAAAGCAGTACACCGCTGCGGAAGATATGCGACATTTTATTATCAGAAATTGGCAGACGTTGAAGCACTCACTCTACCTTGAACATTACAGTCATTCACACACATTTCTCATGTACACAAGGCCAATATGACCAAGATTTCCCCGATGATACAATAAATTCAAAAAATTCAAAACAATAGTTTTTTGAATTTTATGATATTCGAAAAATTTTCGAAAATTTTCTCAATACATGCAACTCTATCAATTTCTAACAAATTTTAATTATCTTTTTTTTATTTTGTTCAATATACTTTAAATTCTTTTATGGAGTTTTCAGACTTTTTATTATTATGTGGGATATTTTATGGGACAAAAAAAATTCTTGGGAACCAACATTTTTAAACGATTTTAAGAATTTACATATCACCCAAAAACTATATTTTATTAGATTATAAATATTAATGGAAATATGCAATTTCGAACATTTGAAGTGCAGTTACATAGGACAAAAGGCCATGTTTTCTCACTATTTTTCGAGTATTTTTGTGTAAAACACGCAGAAATATCACGGAAATTTACATGGTTATGATCTACATTTTGTCCGGATACTTTTGGCGGGTGAAGTGTACATACTAATACATGTTGAAAATTAAGAATTAAAAATTAGTTGAAGAAAACTAAATTAGTGAATGAAACATTTAAGGATTTATGTTCCCACGAGACATGTATGTTGTAATATATAATATATATCCTATTGTTCGATTGTAATTGTAAATAATAGAGGTTGGAATTGTCCAAAAAACCCTTAGTCGACTACTAGTTTTATACATAAAGAATAAATTCTCTTTCCATTCATCTGGAAAATTCATGTGACAAAAGATCTGCAACATGAGGGAAAAATTCAAATTTTTTTATTTTGTTTCAATTCGTTTATTTTTTGATATTAACTTTTTTACGTGTAATATGTCAATTTCAGGGCTAAACATAGTAAACTCGGTAAACTTGTGAAACTTTGAAGCTCAAATCCTCAGCAACAACATGACATATCAACGAGATGAAATCGTAACTTTGTAGAAGAAGGTCTTGGCCTCAAAAACACGATTTATTTTGAGGTGTTGTATTTCCCTTTTGGAGGATTTGAAGGACCTACATGATCAATAAAAAGTTGCGGGACTAAGTGACTTGCACTATAGCTGAAATTTTTGGCCAAAGAATAGGGATGGAAACGGTTCAACCCAAACCGATTTAACCGCGGGTTTAATTGAGCCCCAATTTAAATTGAAGAATATTCAAGTTCAAAGATGCTGCTGCACTTGTATCTTTCAATTTATCAACTTCTCAATTCAAATTCATGATAATGATACCAATAATAATTCAATACTTATACAAAACTTTACATCTTCAACATTAGCAATCATTCATTAAACTACATAGGAGGTTTGCAGGAGAAAATTGTAACTATACCTGAACGGTTTCTTGACTTTGCTACTTATTATTATGGTCATGTGAGATATGCAGATCCACGTACAAAGTTTTTTTATTTTTTGATTAACCTAGAAAAATACATAATATCATTATTGATATCCTTCCTCCCCCTTCTTGTTATCCTAATCACTATAACGATATTCATCATCATGACCATCATCATAATCATCAGCAGGATCCTCATAAACATATTCTTCATTAACAGGTTTCTCATCTGTAACTTCGTATTCCAAAAATCCCATAATCATGCATCTATCTAGCACGGGAATCGGTGATACTGCATCTATAGAATGTTGTTTATAATTGCTATAACTTAATAAGAAAGGTTTGGGACCCGACCACTTTTTACATAAAAACACAATTGCGGTATCAGTTACATTAATGTTGTTTCCAAATTTGATACTTTTTAAATTTTTTGGTTGTGTTTCTATCAATGCGGTGACTATGTCATCAACAAAAATGACGATACCGCCAATTAATCTTAGATAGATTTTTTTTAAGCGTCTACAATTACGAAATATGTCGTTTAAGTAATAATGCAAATGATTTGCATAAAAAACTGTTAAATCCTCCAAGTTTCTACAACAATTTCCAATTGAAGAAAGAAGCAACGACAGATCATCACGATCACTTGGAGCCCCACCAATCTCCAGAGATTTGAGTCCATATCCATTGATATCAATAAAAGTTGTCATGCTATTTAACAACTCCCCATCAAAATTTTTCACTGTAACCTCCCGAATATTTGGGAATGAAGCAGATTTAATTTCTTCTGGTACATCGATTTCATCCACTTTACTATTTTCCAAATGTAACGTCCTCAAATTTTTAAATTCTAATATTGCTAAATCCACATGACTAAATCCAGTGCTATGGTATTCAACTATTGAATCAGAATGACTCAATATTGCGTTTTTTAAATGACCCAATTTCCAAAATACATTTGACCTAGATAAATAAAAATGTACTTTTTTGACTTGTTTTTGACTTTTTATTAAATGTGCTATTCCGCTAATATCTTTATTAACACTATTAAAATGTAATCTAAACGTTTGAATATTATCGCATATCTTCGATAATGCGATAAAGAAATTAGGACTGTAATCGTCACTAGTTTCAAATTCTTTAAGATTCTGAAAGCAATCGCGAAAATCAGAATGTTCAGTTATTAATTTAGCTTTAAGAAAAGATGTATTGAGGTATTCAATAGACGAATGACTTATGATAAACTTTACTAATCTATCTCTTAAAGATTCATTTTTATACTTGAGATACATCAACTTATTAAGATATTCGGACATACTTAGATTTAAAGTAGTGGCAAATTTTGCGTAATTAAATAAAGGAGGTTGTTTGAGCAAAGAAAATGGCAATGAAATATTTTTTTTTGTGAAAAAGTCATCGTCTTCTACTAACAAACAATTAATCAATATCTCCATGCTATCATTACAATGGAATGGATCTTTCCATAAAGTTGGAATAAAAACTTTACTCCACGATTTGCTAACTAAGCTACATGAATAAAGGGTTTCGTAATCTTCTTTAATAAGTTTGAATAGTTCATCTAAAAGTTCCACCGGAAATTTTCCAACCATTTTTTTGAATCGTTTCTTTAATGTTAAAGAGTAAATGAACTTTATTCTTTGAATGTTGAAAAAATTTTTTTCAATGTTTCAAAACCATTTTTTAAAAATGGAAAAATAAAATGAAACTTTAATTACGATAAAAACGAATGATTTTTAGCCACAAATTCTAATTAATACATGTCCCCCCAACTTGTGGTGTCAATCATGTGATCTGTAATTAACGGGACATCATTAATTTAATATTAACTTGACATCAAAGGTTTAAATCTAAACTTTTTCTATAAGGAAAATTCCAAACGCGAATACCAAAAGTATGATGTTTTTTGTCATAGAAAAACTCCAAGTTCATAAATAATTGCAGGTTGCTGACAACCATTTATCGTTGGATTGAGGTATTTGAAAGTGGAGAAGAAAAATTGATCGATTTGGGTATCCTCGAGAAACAGAAATTGATAACCTAACACATGAAGACTCTCACATTTCAATAAGAGCCAAAGAAACTAGGAATTTCTAAAAAAAAAAAAATACATGATATCTTACATAATGAATTGAAATGTTAGTAAAGTTTGCAAAAAGTGGATAACTCATTTTTTAAATGACAAAAATGAAGAAAAAAAAGAGTGGAAATGTCTAATGCTAAACAATTATTAGAAATTCTTGATGGTAGATTTAATGGTATTATTACAGAGTATGAATCTTGGTTTCATTATTATACTATACCAAGTAAAGAAGCAAAATAAAACTTGGGAGAAAATCGATCACAAATTGTTGGAATTGCACAATTCCAACAAAAAAAGAATTTACTGCAATTTTTTTTTTTACTTTACAATAGTAATAGGAGTTTTGGCAAGCCACAGGTTTTTTCAAAATTTAAATTTTAAGAGTTGAAAAATTTGTGGTAGGACATACATATATATGACTGTAGCACTGATCACCCATAAATTAAAAAATATTAATATACCCATCTTTCTTTATTATTATTCATACCAATTTTAAAAATCCCTAATCACAATCAGTGATATTGAACAAGAAAAGGTCAAATTATATTACAATATGATTTTTTTAATAATTTGATTCTTTTTTTAAGCATTACATTATAGAGATTTAACCATTTTCATTGTTATATATATATTATTAGATATAAGTCCTCACGATGTATGGGAACGTAGGACTTACAACGCCTCGTGGCTCAGGGACAAATGGCTATGTAGTTCGTAACCTTTCTTTTGTCAGAACTCATAAAGATCCTATTCACTACGAGTCATTAGAAGAGGGTAAAAATAAACCAAGCTCACTTATTCACAGAAAACCAAATCAAGAGATTCTTGAACATGAAAAAAAACGACAGATTGAAATAAAATGTTTGTCTTTCAGAGATGAACTTGAAAGTAAAGGGTATGAATCGTAAAAAGTTTATTTTTTAAGCGCATATAATTTAATTTCACCTCAATAATTATGATGTTCATATATATATTTAGTGAGATTGATGAAGATGAGATAGATAAAAAAGTCGAGTCGCATCGTCAAGCTTTGCTTTCTTCAATTGATATTGTTGAAGATAATAAAACGTAGGTTTCGTAAATTTTCTTTCTTTTTAAACTGTAAATAATCAGAACATTTTTTATGTAATAAATAATTTCATTTAATTGATTTTCCAAATACTTTTACACCAGTTTACAAGAATATCAAACTCATCACCTTACACAAGCAAAAGCTGCTGAAAATGAAAAAATCATGAAGGCTTTGGGGATAGACTCGGGTACTTATATTGAAGGCGCCGCCTTTGATAAAGAATTACAAGAACAAAAAAAACTTGAACGTATTAAACAAAAAGAATTAGAAATAGAAGAGCGCAAAAAAATAAGAGATGAACGACAAAAAAGACTTGAAAAAAGCGAGCGTGAACGGGACGACAAAAGAAATCATGACTATTCTACACAATTACGAAGAGATAAGCATGAGGAAAGAGAGTTGGAAAGAGATGGCGATAAAGAAAAGGATATATTCAAAGAAAGACACAAAGAAAGAGATATAGACAGAGACAGAGACAAGGACAGGGATAGAGACAGGGATCGTGACAGAGACCGGGACAGAGACCGGGACAGGGATCGGGATAGAGAAAGATATAGGGAAAGAGACAGAGACAGATATAGAGACAGAGATAGGGAGAGGGACAGAGACAGGGAGAGGGATAGGGACAGAGACAGGGATAGGGATAGGGACAGAGACAGGGATAGGGACAGGGACAGATATAGAGACAGAGAAATAGATCTCGATAGTGACAGAGAAAAGGAATGGAAACGATACAAAGAAAGAGAGCGTGAGAGAGATAGAGCAAGAGATAGGGAAAGAGACAGGGACAGAGACAGAGAAAGAGAAAGAGATAGGTATAGGGGTAGGGATGGGGATAGGGGTAGGGATGGGGAAAAGGATAGGAATAGAGACAGAGGAAGGGACAGATATAGTGAAAGAGAAAAGGAAAGAGACAGAGGTAGAGATAATGAAAAGGGAAAGGAAAAAGAAAGAGACAGTTACAGTGACAGCGAAAGTGACAGTGACAGTGAAAAGGAAAAGGAAAAGGAAAAGGAAAAGGAAAAGGAAAAGGAAAAGGAAAGAAGATACAGTGAAAGCGGAAGTGAAAGTGATTAAAAAAATCAATTCAATGAATAAAAATATACTTAGAAAAAAATTCTTGTTATAACATACATTCGAGTTAATCTTTCAAAATTATATCATGTAACTTTTATTATATTATTTATTATATTAATATACACTAGTAAATTTGATAATTAATAAATAATATTTAACACCATTATCCAACAGGCGATTATGTCTTTGTAGCTAGTTTATTTTTATTATTTGAAATAACAACATATCATGTATTAAATAAACAATTGCAAGGTGTTGTTGCTAACAAAAAAAAAATTGTTTAACTAAAAAAAAATCACTAAAAGTCGCCTGAAATAAAATTTTCTACTACGTGATTAAAAATAACGTAATAAAATGACAGCTAAATAAAGTAGCATCTAAATGATAAAAATAATAACTATTATTTGTTAATTTCTTCTCGAATTGATTATACTGATCTGTGAATGTTTTTTAACCAGATAATTTTTTATTAGTTGAGCATCTGGGTCTTGACCTAGTATCGTTCTAATTAATATCAATCCAACATTCTCTTAGTTGGTCCACATATTTAAAATAAAAAAAGATAAAGATAAAAAAACAGTTTCTTTTATATTTACTTACGATGGTTTTTGTTGGTCATTGGCTTTTCCTTTAGGACAATCGTTCTTTCTCGAGATTTAAATAAGATAGTTTTTATCTCACAAAAAATAAGACATTTATTATGCTTCACTTTATTCGTTTCTATTGAATTTCCTCCATGTGAAGAGGTTGTAACCCAGCAATAAATTATTATTAGAAGTCATGGATTAAAATTAAACACATGTACAATAACTCCAATTACAAAATTGCGCCGAGTCCCTAAATTATAGTATATAACATTGTTAATACAATTTTTTCTTTTAAAAGAAAATTATGATATAATCAATCAATTAATCAAATCAGATAAATTGCCAGTGGCATTTTTAATCTTTAACATGTTTAAGAAGACCGTCGTGAATTGTTATCATCATATATTATATAACAAAAAAAATAAAGCAAAACTTAAATTTATTACTCACTTGAAATTCTTGTTGATGATGATAATAAATTATTCCCTCATTCATTATTATCTGTAAAAAAATTTTTTTGATACTGCAGATCGCAGATCATATAATTTGCCAAACCTTAATTCGTGATACGTGAGACAACTGCAAAAATTTCATAATAGAATTTGGCGCAGATTACTAATTGCCTAAAAAACTACTACTTATACGAATCTTATAAATAATAAGAATCCCAAAGTTTCAATATACAAATTTTCAAAGGGACTTTCTTATAACAATTATATGGGTGGTGTAGATATAGCTGATCAATTACGTGGTTATTATGCTACTCAATTGACAGCCAGGAGAACTTGGGTGCCAATGTTCTTTTGGTTACTAGATACTGCAATTGTCAACTGCTACTTAATCCATAAAAATTGCAATGGAAATTTGGATCACAAAGATTTTAGAGTAAACTTGGCCTGGGGTCTAATCAACTCTGGTTTAGATGAAAAAAATGATATTAATATTAGTAGGAATTCTTCAAGAAGTAATTCAAGAAGTAATTCAAGAGGTAATTCAAGAAGTAATTCAAGAAGTAATTCAAGAAGTAATTCAAGAAGTAATTCTAGAAGTAATTCTAGAATGACAACAAGTAACTTTGCTTTACCTACAGAAAGATTAAGGTTTGGTAGGCATTTCCCTGAAATAGGTCCAAGAAAAACTTGTATGTGGTGCAGATATAAAAGAATAAGAGAAGGGAAATCTTCAGGAAATGAATTAAAATCTACAGTCTATTGTACATTATGTAAAGTTCCATTATGTTTCAAAGAGAATAGAAATTGTTTTACAGATTTCCATACATTAGAAATATAATAAATTAAATCATTCAACATCTGTCTGTTCAATTAATTTTATAAAAAATATATATATTAAAATTTATTTAAAAAAAAGAAAATAATATAAAATAATGATAATAATATTAAAATTAATAAAATAATGATAATTAAAAAATAAATTTTCTTTTGTTTTAAATCAACGTTCAACTCCTCCTTCACCAACTTCATTTTCACTTCATTTTCTATCTCTTTTCTCACCACTTTTCTCGCCTCTTCCCACAAAGCCTCTTTTTCTTTTAATTGTCTGAGAAGTATTATTTTGTAGATCTTTGATGAAGTCAGTTAGGTCATCATATATGCTATTTTCATCTGTTACGATGATATTAGATGATGCCAACTTAGCTTCTACTCTCATTTGTTTACTTATTTGGTTGTCGGAATTACCAATTGAGGTATCACCTGGGTATTTAGTCATTACACCTTTTAAATCCCGAACAGCCATAGGGAAGACTTTGGAATGCTATAAATTAAAAAAAAAAAATTAATAATATATTTAATAACATACACATTCATATTAAATAACAATAATAATAATTACTTTGCATTGGACAACTAGGACATATCTTTCACCCTCACAAATAAACGCTCCTATTAAGTCAACTCCTTTATCCCCGGAATGCCTAGAAAATAATAATAATACATATAAAAAAAAATATAAGTTTTGTTTCATCATTATCAAGAAGCAAAAATAAACGTTCATAACAAGTCATTCAACAAGTTATGGCCACGATGAGCTTTTAAATTTGTTTCATATATCCTATTCACTACGGCCCTCGGCACTGCAACCGGCGGCTTTTCAGATGAAAGAACGTTCATAATCAGGTTGTCCACTGTACGTTAGATCTGGTTACCTAACTGGTAACTTTCACAAGTTATGGCCACGAAGTGCTTTCAATTTCTTTTCGTTTAAATCCTAGTAGCAGCGTAACTTCAGATATATAATAACTCAACAATTACTTAGTAAAAAATACTCACACAGTCCTTATAAGATCTATTTCATGGTTGTCCAACGCGTTTTTAACGTCGAGTTTAAATCTATTGCCTTTGTAAACGGCCATGATTGATTTTATAATTAACATTAAACTTGTTTTATTCATTTTTATTAAATATATAATAAAAACAAAGAAAAAGGTCACACGTTCTTGAAGATGGTAGCGCACCAAATACAGATCACGACTTACCAAAACCAAAATGCGTGTTTCACAAACGTGCACAAACATGCAGAAGCGGAAAGATTTAAAAAATTAGTATTTTTGTGATCTGCAACAGTGTCTGCTATGCTTGATAATACAAGTTTCCCTGATCGAAGTCGAAGGAAATATTTTTAATATTCCCTTAGATCTAGATCTGCCGAGAAGCCGAGAAACACTTGTGTTTCGTAGGCGGAACCCGAGAAACCGAGAAACACTTATTGTGTTTTGGTAGGTGGTGAGAATCTGAGAAACATTTATGTTTTGAGGTGCACGGGGCCGGTGCCAAGAAGCCGAAAAAACGCGTGTAATACACGTTTTGTAGGTGGTGAGAATCCGAAAAGGCATATTTCATAGGTTGACAAAGCCTAAGAAGTATGTTTTGTAGGTGTATGGCTAAAGGGACTTGATTATCAACCGTACTCTTTTTGACCATTGTTGTGGACAAAGTTTGTTATACTTACTCTTCGTCTGTAAAGGTCAGTATGTGTGAAAATTTATTTTATAGACCATAAGTACTTTATTAATTTTTATTGCGCTTTTAATTACAAATCGAGGATACAAATCACAAACAAGCAATCAACTATGGTAATTTTTTCAGTTTTGGATTTGGGCGAACTTTTATAACTGTCTCCGCAATTACACTGGTCGTCACAAAATTCTTAATTGGATTCCTGAACTGAGGATGTTTGACGTAAGTTTTGCCATTGCATATAGTCGAGGTGAAGATTGTTTAACAGATTCTTATGTCATTATCATCTTGAAACAAATACCCTCTTCCATTAAATTTATTATAAACATGCAATTCTAGTATTTCTATATAGTTACGACTATTCATTTTTTCCATCTACTTTTATTAGTGGACCTAGCCCTTTTCCCGAAAAACGCCCCATACCATTATGCCTCCGCCACCATGTTTCACTGTTGGGACAACATTTTCAATAAGCTGATGCCGCACATAATTTTGAGTTGAATTTTGGACATCGAGTATATGATCATTTCTATAACTTTGGACACAAAAAAAAAAAAAAAAAAAGATTTTTAATACGAGAAACCTTGGCTATGATGTAAAAATGCAGTATTTTTCTAAACAGGACGTTGGTTATGCCACCAGCATTACTTTGAGCAAGATTCTCGTTTAGAAACCAAAGCACACCACCACACCATTACCAAGATCACGGCCCGCAGATGTTGTATGTGAAAAACCGCGTAACAAGATTGTTTAGGATTTCCAAATTTCGTATATACTCTTTTAATCAATATGACAATTAATTGTTTGATTCTGAATTTATAAAAAGAAACGTCCATTTACGAGGTTATCACGAGAAAACAATTTACAAATTATTAAAAACATAAAAATCCAAGGCAAGTTTATCAACCGTTTACTGATTTCTTTATTCATCGATTCTATGATTCCAAAATGCTAAAAGTTACAAAATTTCTTGAAATCATTATTGATACCAAATCATCCAATAATGTTGAAAGTTGTAAATAATATTACTGGGTTCGATGAATTACCTTTCAGCTCATGCCAGAGTCAATTATATAGAGGCCATAATAGAAATATCAATGTACTACTTGTTGTGTATTGGGAATGAAATGCGAATAATTTCATTAATACACTGCGGCTGTTGAAGTTGGTCATAACAATAATCAAATTTATTAAATAATAATTTTTTAAATAAAAATGGAATAAAGATTATAAAATATATATTTACATTAATTAATAAATAATTGCGCTATATAGTAATATTTTTAGAAAAAAAAGAACAAAATAGTTCTATAAATATTATTGTTTATCAGCTGGTACCCATTTTCTAAGTCTAATAGCATGTGTATTAATGAAACCACCAGCATCAGTAGGTGTCAATCCACCATGTTCATCCATTGAGCTTTCTCTCATATCATAAAGTTTAGATCCTACCCCATAGGCTTTGCGGCCTTCAATGATGACATTACCTTTATATAGTTTGATTTTAACTTCACCATTGACATTACGTTGTGTGAATTCAAGTGAATGTGAAAGGAATTCACGTTCGGGTGAAAAGTAAAGGCCATTATAAAGAACTCTGCCATAAGGAATACTAATATTTACTTCTTTAAGATGACGAACTTGCCCATCAAGTGTAATTCCCTCGAGATCCAAATGTGCAGCACGCAATACTGTGGCTGCAGGTGATTCATAACATCCACGAGATTTCAATCCTATAAATCTTGACTCAACCATATCGACACGACCAATACCATGACAACCAGCCAATTTGTTTAAATATGTAAATAAATCTAGCGAATTGCTTTTCTCTGTTTTGTCATTGTGATTAACAACTTTAACAGGGTTCCCTTTTTCAAAATAAATAGTCTATAAATATGTATATAATTATATTGATTAATATAAATTATATATATACATATTTAAAACGCATAAAAGAAAATATTTAAATCATCTTAAATCATCTTACAATATGTTCAGGTGTGTTAGGAGCTTCCTCTGGATCAACAGTCATACTCCACATATCTTTTGGTGGGGTGCATCCAGGATCTTCAAGTAAACCACCTGAAAACAATATAAATATAAATGCATTTAGTTAACGTTAACAATTTGAATATGTTGATAAAAATTATATATATATATATATATTCAACAAAATGATAAAGGCGAAGGACTTACTTTCATGAGAGATATGGTACAAATTACCATCTTCTGAATATGATTTTGCAGCTGTTTGAACAACAGGTATATTTTTTTTAGCTGCATAAGCAAGAAGTGCTTGACGACCAGGAAATTTTTCATAGAATTCTAAAAAC